CTGTTCCATATCTTCCAAAGCTGATGGAACGCACCATTAGCACGCTGGATCCTGATGTCAAGATCTCGGTCAATGGTACCATCCCCACTGATGTTGGCACCAAGATAAACAAAGTTGCTGACCTGTTCAACAGGTTCTCCCTCCACTGTTAGCTTTATACTGTCTCTTTCGGTGTAAGGTCGCTGGGACGCACACTTGCTGATCGCCATGCATTGTGTCTTTTTAGAGTTGATCTTTAATCCAGCATAAGAGGTGTAATAAGCTATAAGATCAGTGGACTCTTGCAGCCCTTCTTCAGTATTGTCCATCACAGCCAGATCATCAGCGTAGTCACTATCCATTAATTAATTAATTAAAATTGAAATTTAAAAACACCACTATTAAGCGTACACTTTTACTCAGCAGTGTCACTACAACTAGTTTACAAAAATACTTTTAAAACTATATATCAAAAGCAAAATAAAGTTCTATGTATAAATTCGTTCATAAAACTTTCAAAAAGCTAATATAATTTAGATAAGTCAAAGAGAGGGTTAAAATTATAAATAAAACATTTTTGCTACCTCAGTGTCAGATAAAGTAAACAAATAAGTCTTCAGTGCGGATTTAAACGCCTCAACAGAATAACATTGTTTAACTGAGTCTGGTAGTGCATTAAAAACTCGTGGACCAACCACACTAAAACTACGATCACCAAAACCCTTGGTTGAACGATAAGGGACTATGAGCCTAACAGTGTGTCCATGGTGAGCATACTTAAACATATCTTGAAGGTACAGTGGCGCTATTCCATTAATAGCCTTAAAAGATAGGAGACATATTTTAAAAATCACTCTTTTAGGTATATTAAGCCAGTGCAATTTATCAAGATCGTCGCCTAGGTGATCAAATTTATATTTTCCAGTTACTGCTTTTGCACAGGCATTTTGAATAAGCTGTAGTTGATGTATGAGGTACTTGGAGATGCTGTAAAACATGGCGTTACAGTAGTCCAAACAAGAAACAACGAGGCTATTAACAATTGTCTTAAGCTGTTTTGTAGTCAGCAGAAACCGTATCTTAGTGAGGTTGCGTAGTGTTAGGAAACATTTCTTCTTCAACTCAACAACATGGTTGCTCATAGTAAGCCCAGAGTCCATATGTATCCCAAGATTCTTAACTGTGCTCACAAATCGAATAGTTGTGTCACTCCCAAAATTCACTCCCTTTATATTGATCTCTCGTAGGACGGACATAGGACCAAAAACGATTATCTGTGTTTTACTGTCATTCATTGCTAGAAAGTATTTTTTCATCCAAGCTCTAATAGATGCAAAGCATCCCCTGAGCTTAGAGAGTAACGTTTCGCCCTGGTTGATGGGTTTAAATCTCTTTAAGATCTGGTGGTCATCTGCATACCCATAAATTGTGAAGTCCCTTCCTTGTACAAATCTATAGATGGATCTGATATAAAGGTTAAACAGAACAGGTCCCAGAACTGAGCCCTGAGGAACACCAAACTTAATAACTATTTCTTCAGAGAGAGTAGAACCAAGTCGAATTCTCTGAGCACGACCTTTTAGAAAGCTAGTAAACCATTTTAACACAGTGCCCCTTAGTCCTATCTCCTTCATGAGAATGTTCAGTAAGACATCATGGTCTACAGTATCAAACGCCGCCGATAGGTCAAGCATCATGACAACTGTAGCACTCTTTTCATCTGATGCAACTAGAAGATCATTCCATATTCTGATCAATAATGTTTCTGTGCTGAAGGTCTTCTTGTATGCAGACTGTTCTGGGCAGTGGAGATTTTGCTTATCTAAGTGATCGTTTAGGCGCTTTAACACCACTCTCTCGATCAGCTTCCCAAGGAAAGTGAGGTTTGAGACAGGGCGAAAGTTTTTCAAGACATTAGGATCAAGAGAGTTACTTTTCAGGAGGGGAACAATATCAGCAAGTTTGACTCCGTCCATTGAACCTTGAGATAAGGATGCATTAACAATCTGTAGAAGTAATGGTAGCAGAATGCTGATGTTCTCTTTAAGCAGTGTAGTAGGTAAGATGTCAGAAGGTGAACATTTGATACCAAACTCGTCAATGATTTCCTTTAGCTCATCTAATGTGACAGGTTCAAAGGTAGACCAGTGGTAGGATTCGGGAGCTTCAGCAGAAGAGTCTGATGGAAGAGTAAACCGATCATGATCCATATCTTTCCTAATGTTATCAATCTTAGATGTAAAGTAGGCGTTAAAGTCTGCTGCTAGCTTTGGAAGATCATCTGTGTAATCTGGCAGAGGATTAGATTGTTTACGGTCTAAATTTCTATTGACCAGCTGCCACAAAGTTCTTGGGTTGCCTTTAGAGTTTTCTACCATATTCTTAAAGTACTCCTTCTTCTTCAGATCAGCCATTTTAGAACATTCTGAGCTGATGTCTCTAAACATGATTTTATCTTCAAGCGTTGCTGTTGGTTTACGAGTTTTTGCCTCGGCTTTTCTTCTCAGCTTTCTGTAGTCCCTGTATTCATTATCAAACCAAGGTGCAGAATCAATAACAGATACCTTCTTGGAGACTATTGGAGCATGCTCATCTAGGAGTTCAGCACACAAGTCGTTCAAGTTGGCAACAGATGCACTCATATCAGTAGTTCCAATTTTCTCAAGATCAATCAAGTTTACTATATCGAAGAGATCACTGGTAAATTGGTCATCATCCACAGTCTTCAAATTTCTGTAAGTGATATCTTTAAAATATTTCTTTTCGAATTCCAAAGAGAAGTCACAATAGACTGGAAAATGATCTGATCCATGCCTATTCACACTATCAACCAAAACCTTGCATTGAAGCTGATTCTTGATAGAGAAGCAGAAGATTTGGTCTAGTGATCCACCAGCAACATGGGTTGGTTCATTAACATGATGATTAAATCCGTAAGACAGAAATAAGTCAAGCGTCTTCCTAACAAGCTTGTCATTCTTATTCTCAAAATGAATGTTCAAGTCCCCAGCAATGACGAGACAATCACACTTCATGGTGATGGCTGACAGAAGTAAATCAAGTTCCTGATGAAAGATAGAGGAGAGATAACCAGGTCGATACAAAGAGACAAACATGACCTTAGTGCCTGTTGCTGTTTTGATTGATGCAGCTGTGTACTCAAATGTAGAGAAAGTAGCAGAGCATTGGAACTGAGACATTGAGTATTCTCCCCTAAACAACAAAGCAGTTCCACCACCTTTTTTGTCTTTCCTGAAATTATGTATGATTCTGTAACCGTAAGACTTAATAATTGCAGTGGTGGGGCAGTTAACATCTGTTAGCCAAGTTTCACAGAATGCAGCAATATCAATGCTTTTGTCTGATAAGTTGCACATAATATCGTTTACTTTGTTAACAAGTGACCATGGATTGAAAAGGAAGAATTTCAGACAGCTCAGTGATTTCTGTCCGTGTTGTGGCTTTGGTAAAAAGGGGTGGTCTTTTTAACTTTCTCCTGCAAATCTTTGAATATGGGGCACAAAACAGGATCATAGGCTGCATGTAGAAGCTCATTGCCATGCTTACCAGCTTTCTTGCAGTTTGAACAACACAATGGAGCGGAGCGATCACATGTCCGTGTTTCATGTGCTCCTGCACAAAAGCCACAGACATGTTCACTTTTGCAATGACCTTGGTGACTTTTGCTATGGTGACCAAATGATTGACAGTTAAAACATCTGAGGACAAAGAAGCTATTATAGACTTTGCAAACTCTCTGAGTTCCAATAAAGAGCTTATCACCTTGTTTAGCAATTGCAGATCGTACAAGATTACTGACACGAACAATAGCTTTGAAGGAGTTCTGGTCATTCTTTAGGGGTACTATAGCTACTACATCAATTTTCTTGTCTTCTATACTGGTACCTGGATCATTGATGAGCAGATCTATTCCATGGTTTTGACTAACTATCATTTCCTTTATTTCCTCCTTCAAGTAATCACGCTCAAGACCAACAACTGTTATTCTTGGTAACTTTGTGGCTACAGTTGATGTACTATGTTGGGGGGAAGCTTTGCTAAGCTTCTCACGCAATGTTTCTGCCTCAGACCTAGAGTTAAGAATAACGGCAGTATCATTAGATTTGAGCTTCATTGTGTTAACAATACTAATCTTATTCTTGATGCAGCTTTCTTCCAACATACTTTTATCAATTGGTTTGCCACTCTGATCATTCTTAATTACAATCATGCTGCGAAGTTTCTCAGTCCTCTGAGAATCATCCCATGGGTTGCAGGGAGTCATTGGAGGTTTTGCTAGAGCATTGTTTTGCTTACTTGGCAAGATTTCCTTAAGCATCTCTTTTACACCGGACAGTTCTTCAGCAAAATTCTGCTTTAACTCCTCAATCTTTCTGTCAACGTAAACATTAGCAGCTCCCCCTGTGCTTTGCTCTGTCATCTCCTCTTTAACTGTAATACAATGGTTACAAAAGAACAAGAATCTGCCAAATCTTTTCTCATAGGACTTGGTGTTAGAAACAGCTGGTCCCAAATGGGAAGTGAAGCTAGATGGGGCACTAACACAATAGGAATCATCTGTGCAGCCTACCGCATGGAAATTGTTTTTACAGTCATAACACTGAACTCTGTAGTCAGGATTAACTCCCTCCTGACAGTGGTTACAACAATCATTTTGTATGATGTTGGGAGCAGCTATGTAGGTCCTTGTACCCTCTGTGTTCTGGGGAGAGAAATCAGTTATAGATGATTTAGGAGAATCAGGCATAGCTAAGTTTAGTAGGTCAGGGGTTGCTGTGTAAGGATTGTAAACTTGTAAGACAGTCGAGACTCCAACAGAAAACAATAAAGACAACCCACCGGAAGAGTTCTGACTTATGGGTCAGATACCCTTTGATAGTTTTGGTTTGAAGGGGAAGAGGGCTATCAAGGATAGAACACTCCTCTAGTAACTGTGTATCGCTTGTGTGTGTATCGCTTTTCAACTTATTGCCATGACATACTTTCAACACGTGCCATACCTCAAATTATTTGTTATATAGTAGTGTTGAAAGTATTATAACTTTTTCATCTGCACCCTTTAGTTCCTTTTGCAGTACCATGACTGATTGCCTCGTGAACCTCAGCCAAAAAGATTCAAAAGTTCAGACAAAAATTAAATACAGGAGGGCCCTGGATATCACCCTGTCCAGCGCCCGAATTAACAGAGAACCAATCAGACATTACACCATTAACCCTGACAGCACTCATGGTTCCGTTGAAGAATGCCTGAAAGATTCTAACATATTTCTGAGGAAGTCCATAGTGTCTCATGCTTGACCAAATAAACTCTCTTCTGATGGAATCAAACGCTGCCTTAAAATCAATGAAATTAACAAAAAGTGGAATGTTAAACTCAATGCAGTTGTGAATTATGGTGCGGATGGAATAAATCTGATCAATACATGAGCGGTTCCGTCTGAACCCACACTGATTTTCCCTAAGAAGACACTCCATTCCAACATCCAGCCTCTTAAGAAGAACCATTTGAAGAACCTTAGAAGACGTTGCCCTAAGAGTTATACCCCTATTAAATAATATGCAATATTGCAGCAGTATGAAGTGTCTCCCTTCTTTCCGATAACCACTATAACACCTTTAAGCCAATCCTCAGGGATTACCTCTTCCTCCCATACCTTTTTAAACAGTAGCTCTAGTTGGCAAACAAGAGCACTTCCACCATACTTAAGTTGTTCATTAGTTATCTCATCAACCCCCGCACTTTTGCAGTTCTTCAGTTTCTTTAGAGCATAACTAATCTCATCTCTAGAAGGAGGTCCATCATGTCAGAACAAGCCACATCAGACATTCATTATTATCACGCGGATATCGCTTTCTGATGTTTTCTATGTTGTAAAAATAGCCATGTCATAGTTGTTTTGCTCATGTTGCTTTATCGCACTAATTATCATATGAATGTAAGTTACAATTTCCAATTCCATCCACTGATGTTATCACAGGACTGATCATCTAACTTCCTCATTTGTGTATAATACTCATTACTGGAGCACCTGTTGGTAGTCTTATGAGCAATTACTAAACTCTCCCTTATTTTTCACGATCATGTAAACTAGTTAAGATTGCACAAAACTAGCTAAAATTGCTAAAATGTTCTTTTTCAGTGAATATCAACTGATTTCATTAGCTAATGTTCAAGTCCTGTAGAAAAAACCTGCTAACTTTTCCAGAATATATGCCCTATTGAATCAGGGGTCAATCTACAGATGATAATTTCTGCATCCTGTAAAGTTTCATATTTCACCTCAGTAGATGCAGAACTTTTCAATTTTTAAAGTATCATTTACAGCTGTGGAATGAGCATACGGCCAAGGGTTGAATTTGAATTAAGTAAACCTTTTGGTGCTGTATGAAAATAAACTAAATGTATTATCATTATTATTAACTTTATAGTTTTCCTCTTAGAAGATAATGTTTTGGAAGCCTGATGCAGATGCTCCCGTTTTAAGACAAAAAGATACAGGCACCAATGAATCTGAAACTACAAATTTCATTTACAATGCTCACAAGAACTGCTCATTGTCAGCTCAGCGCCAAAAGCTCCCCATATTCAATTATAGGAACAATTTTTTGTATTCAGTCGAAAGCAGTTCAGTAACTGTAGTGGTAGGTGAAACAGGTTCCGGAAAAAGTACTCAGATACCTCAGTATCTTTCTGAAGCAAATTGGGCATCTAATGGTATGATGATTGCTGTTACTGAGCCAAGAAGAAATGCCACCATCACATTAGCTTCTAGAGTAGCTGATGAAATGGGATGTCACTTAGGATCAGAGGTTGGATATCAGATTAGATTTGAGAATGCTGTCTCTGAGTCAACTAAAATCATGTACTGCACTGATGGGAGCCTACTTAGAGAAATTATGGCAGATCCACTTCTTACAAAGTATGCAGTTATAGTTGTAGATGAAGTCCATGAACGTAATATAAATACTGACTTACTAATAGCACTTCTAAGGAAAATCATAAAACAAAGAAGTGATCTTAAAATAGTCTTAACATCTGCTACAACTGATGCAGAAAAGTTAAAGAAATTCTTCTGTTCCAGAGTTCAAGGTGATTCTGCTTCAAAGATCACCTGTTCAATCTTGTCAGTTGAGGGGAGAAATTTCCCTGTGCAAATAAACTTTGCAGTAAGTCCAGTACCTGACTATCTCAAAGCTTCTATTGACTTGTCGATCTCCCTACACGAAAACAGGCCCCAGGGAGATATTTTAGTGTTTCTTACGAGTCAAGATGAGGTATTATCAGCTGTGAAAGATTGTAGAGAAGAGGTAAGAAAACTTGTGAAACCCAAGCAAAATGTCAAAGTATTGCCCTTCTACGGGAGCTTGCCAACAGAGGAGCAAATAAAAGTTTTTGACACAACTCAAACTGGCCAAAAAACACGTAGAATTATTTTCTGCACAAACATTGCCGAAAGCTCAGTCACAATACCTAGGATAATATACATCATAGACTGTGGATTCAGTCGTTATAAAACTTTTAATGCAAACTCTGGCTTGGAAATAGTAATTAAGTCTCAGATTTCAAGAGCATCAGCTGTGCAAAGAGCTGGAAGAGCAGGAAGATTAGGGCATGGTGAAGCCTTTAGACTGTACACTGAAAGTTCATTTGAGAAGATGTTGATGGAAACACCACCTGATATAACCCGATCCAACCTGGCAGATGTTGTCCTGAAATTGAAAGCTATAGGAATATCAAACATTGTGAAGTTTAATTTCCTCACTCCCCCTCCTTCAAAACATCTCTGTAAAACGTTAGAGGTTCTTCATGCTTTAAATGCTATTGATGACAAAGCTGATTTAACAGCCATTGGTTTTGTTCTTGTTGAGTTTCCCATTGACCCAATGCTCACAGTATGTCTCCTTGAATCAGACAAGTATGGCTGCAGTGAAGAAATACTAACAATCGTAGCCATGTTGCAGGTCAACAATGTTTTTACCAAATCTCAGAGAAGTGGGAAAACTGTGAAACAGATGAAGTTCAAGTTTGCTGCTAAAGAGGGAGACATGATAACATATCTAAATATTTTCAGATTTTTTGTAGAAAACAACAAGAGCCGTTCTGTATGTAAGGAGCATTTGCTGAACTATGATGTTTTATGTAAGGCTGATAACATTTTGAAGAGACTCAAATCATTTTACAAACGTTATGGAAAAGAGTTATCATCAACTGATGATGATGCTACCATACGTAAATGTTTGTTGAGTGGATTGTTTGTGAATGCTGCGTACTATCATCACACTGGAGTCTACAAGACCTTCAGAGACCATTTCAACCTCAGCATACACCCCTCTAGTGTTTTAGTTTCGGAGCGTCCTAAGTATGTTATATTTAATGAGGTACTAGGATCATCTCAAAACTATATGAAGGATATAACTGTTATCGAATCAGAATGGCTCTTGGAAGTCGCTTCACATTATTATGTAAATAAATTTGAAACCTCTTAGATAGAGGGGAGTCATTGTTAGCTATAATATTTTGATTAATATTCAATATTAGGTAACACGCTTTAATCGTCTTAAATTTTTACAGATTGTACTAATAATAATATTATCGTCTTATGGTATTTATTGAACTCAGGGTAACTCCGTTTTCCAATATATTTGTTTTCCAATCTTCATCAGTCGAATTTAATACAAAATAGTCTACTCCAGTTACACATTAAAAGTCGTGTTATGTTCTACTTTCTATCCTTTCTAAATCTGTAAAATAATATAAATTTAGAATATTAGTGACTGCTGCACTGGAATAAAGATATGTTGTTAACCAATCGATTAACCTTTAGATATGAAGAAAACGGAGAAGTTTGAAAAGGTCTTGTATCGTCCACAGCCCTATCCAGATAACCATACAGAAGAGAAACTGTTTTTAAAGTCACTGAAAAGAAACAAGAACCTGAAAAATTACTCTTTCTTGCAGTGTATGGATCAGGGCCAGCTCCCATTACAGCAACTGTCATGTACCATCTCTTTCCTCTTACTTCATTTCATGGACATTAAGATAACAAACAGTATGATTTATATGATGGCTCTATTAACAATGTTGGGATACCTCTCTATCGCTGGTTTTACTGTTCATCAAGTTAGAACAGTTATTCTGTTTGGGGGATTCCTATTTGGTTTGTCTCCGATTATCCAGACATTAACTAGATCTATCAGTGATGACACTATCTACGCCATGGTCTCTATCTGTCTGTTTACAAACTTTTTCCTCCACGACTACAACACAGAAAACTGCGACTACATGTCTAAAGCTGTTTCACTGAATGCAGCAATACTCGCGGCTGTGTGCCTTGCTTCTAGGCTTGACGATCTGAACAATGTTATGGGAACAATAATCATCGCTGTTCTCACATACGGCATTATTCCCCCTGTAAGAAAGAGGATGGCTGGCAGTAAAGTTATGCCCCTGTGGACTTTTTTCCTTCTTACAAGCTCTGTTTACATATCTTACGTCTCAGTACCCTTAGTTATAGTGCCCCTAATAATCTCAGCAGTTGCTTGTTTAGTCATTGTGCCAGCGTTTTTTGTTCACCTCCAAAAACAGAAAGATAATATCTTTGGTCCCTGGGATGAAGCAGTGTTGAAGGATCTCGGTTGTAATGGAGGGGTCCGGGATATTTATGCAGAATAGTACTTTATCAACGCTAGTTGCAATGTGGTCATTCTTCAGCACGTGCTTTTAGAATCCAAATATCATATAGACAGCTAATTTAAAGTTGTAAGTTTAAAGTAAGCAATAATTTTAGTTTCTTATTAGAACTTTGCTGATAGAGAATTTTGCTGCTGCTGGGGTTTTGTTGTGTTGCTGTTTCTTTCAGTTTTGTATAAATTTTGTGAATATTTATTTAAGTTGAAATTGATAACCTTCACTTCAAGTCTTTATTCAATTCGGAAGTCATTCTTAAAAATGTTTATTTTGTTTGAAGGTGCGGTGCAGGTGTTTCATATCTTCATATTTTTAAAAATTTAAAGTTTAATTTGTCGCACGTAACGACGTTTGTAAAGTCATGATATTAATGATGTTTTATTCATCGTTCTGTAACATTATGTTTTATAAACTGGCATTATCTCTGAGATTATAATTTTTAAAACTGACTAAATAACTGTTACAGGGAGGATGTCTAATTTACCTGCCTGTGTCATTGACAATGGTACTGGGTACACTAAAATGGGATTTGCCGGTAACTCCGAGCCTCAATACATCGTGCCAAGTGCTATTGCTGTGAAGGAACAGGCTGGAATCGGAGACAGTGCTTCCCGGCGAAGCCAGAGAGGTATTGACGATCTTGATTTCTACATTGGAGATGAAGCGTTAAACCAGCCGAACTACGCTGTGAAATATCCTATCCGACATGGTATGGTAGAAGACTGGGATTTGATGGAAAAGTTCTGGGAACAATGTATTTTCAAATACCTGAGAGCAGAACCTGAAGATCACTACTTCCTGTTGACTGAACCTCCTCTGAACTTGCCTGAGAACAGGGAGTACACAGCAGAGATCATGTTCGAATCTTTCAACGTGCCCGGGATCTACATTGCTGTACAGGCCGTTCTGGCTATTGCTGCCTCCTGGACCACAAGAGACGTGGGCTCCAGGACCCTGACAGGGTGTGTTGTGGACTCTGGAGATGGTGTTACTCACGTGATTCCTGTTGTTGACGGATATGTTATCGGCAGTTGCATCAAACACATCCCTATTGCTGGACGTGACATCACTTACTTCATCCAGTCTCTCCTGAGGGAACGTGAACAAGGCATCCCTCCAGAGCAGTCATTGGAAACCGCTAAAGCTATCAAGGAAAAATACTGTTATGTGTGCCCCGATATTGTGACGGAGTTCAAGAAGTACGACACTGACCCTCAGAAGTGGCTGAAAACCTTTGATGGTATGAACGAAGTAACAAAGCAGAAGTTTAGTATCGATGTGGGGTATGAGAGATTCCTGGGACCGGAGATCTTCTTCCATCCCGAGTTCTGTAACCCTGACTACAGAACGACCATTAGTGAGGTGGTTGATGACGTTATTTCCGGGTGTCCTATTGACACCAGGAGAGGGCTTTACAAGAACATAGTCCTGTCCGGTGGTTCTACCATGTTTAAAGATTTCGGTAGAAAGTTAGGACGAGACATAAAGAGACGAGTAAACTACCGTCTACAAGTGAGTGAGCAGCTCTCCGGGGGCAAGCTGAAACCCACTCCCATCGAGACTAACGTAGTCTCTCATCACATGCAACGTTACGCTGTCTGGTTCGGAGGAAGTCTCCTGGCATCTACCCCTGAGTTCTACGAAGTGTGCCACACTAAGGCACAGTATGACGAGTATGGTCCCAGTATATGTCGACATAACGCTGTGTTCGGTGCTATGACGTAAGGTTGGACTCGTTAGAGTATGAAGGCGGAATAAGTACAGGCAACTTCAAGGTGGTTTCCATTCGGCACAGTTAGCATCGTATTATTGTGTACAAAATTTTGTAATGAATATTTTCTAGTGATATAATTTGGTTTTTATTTGCTGACTTACTTAGATTCAGTGATTGTCGATTATTAGGGTAATATTATATATCCCAAGAACATAATATAATGTACGGACGTTTTTGTTGAATTCGGAACTTTCTCACGATAAATTTTTCGAGCATCTGCAAAACCTTATTTCGGATTTGTTTTTTAAGTTTTTAAAAATGCTCTTGTATCAGATTTCAGTTTTAACATTTGGTTATAATGTATTTGGGATACTGGAAAACGGTTTGTTAGAGTACATAATAGCAGTAGATATAGTTGTGTTTTGAATCAAAAGTAGACTACAAGGTTTTACAACCGCTTGATTGATTTTGTGTGCCTTGAATCAAATACGAGATTGTCGATTGATAGTGACACATCTAGACTGATCATCAACTTTTAAACTTTCACTACAGCTAGAGTTTAATACCACTTGCAAACTGAAATTTACTTTTATTTCGTGAAATGTTAAAATCAGAAATAGTTAATAGCAATTTGGGATCTTATCATAACGAAATATATAAGACATCACATATGCTTGTGATTGTTACTTCCAAGCTTTGTATCATTTGGAATGATGGTAAGTGATGGTTAATATTCTTAATGGTACTCTCTATATCGGTCAGTTTCTCAGTTTGATTTTGTCCGTAAAACATTTTAAGTATGTCAGTTTTGTCTCTGAATTATTGGGACCGTATTTTGGTAGAAAGCTTGTTGATATTGGAATGACTCAGATCTGTGATGATGTGAAATTATGTGAAAGGTATTTGGTGTAGATCTTAATATTTTTGTATGTTTTGTTAAATTTCATCTACTATGAAACTATGAATATGAATATACGCATTGATGCTCCATTTTGTTGATTACATGTTATATATGAAATGAATCCTGGTTTACCTGCTCAAAATTATAACATCGAAAACTTACCTCTGAAAACTGACAGTCTTGTAGTAAAAAGCTGATTCAGAAAATGTATTTGAAATACTTACTAACTGTTCCCTGAAATTAATGTTAACTCGTAAAAAGCATTTTTCACCTTTTGTCAAACCTTTTTATTACACACTTTCCCTCTCATAGAAAATAGCTATGTCCATTTCGAGTGAAGCTACATTAAAATCAGATGCTGCAAGCAGGAAACGTCGCAAGCTCTGGCTCGGCGCAGGTTTTGTCGGGTGCATCGCCGGATCAATAGCATTTGCAGGACCCTTCTTAACTCCAGTGCTCAGAAAACACTGTCTCCCTTATCTACCTGCTACTGAGAACACGGTACTTTAGGTATTCACTGTTTCTTGTATAGGTGTTTTAGATGTATTAAGGGGGCCAACGAAAATGGCCAAATTCTCATTCTGAAAAATTATTTTTGAGAAAGGTTTACAAGATATGCGAAAAACTCACTCTAAAAAATACTCATGATCCCCCCCGCGCCGCCCCCCCCCCCCCCCCCCCGCCCCCTATTAATCTGATTTAAATTCTGCATATAATAATAATCTCTCAGAATTACTTAAAAAATCGTATCGCATTCAACTTGACTCTGCTAGCTTTCTCAGCTATACAATTTAAAGCTACACCAGCACAGTTACTTCCTGACACACAGCACAGTGTTATAACAGTGTACACAAGTCACACTGCTACTAAACACTAACGTGTTACATTCCTCAGATAAAGTTGCTGTTTGGGGAACTGAAAGGAGCTAGAGGTCCCCTTATTGATCTGGGCAGTGGTGATGGTAGAGTGGTTATAGCTGCTGCTAAACAAGGGTTCACTGCTCATGGTTAGTGCAGAACAGGTTTCTAGCTTTTTGAGTGTAACATTTCCAGTAAATTGTTCTGCAGAAATGAAATTTCTTTTAATGACAATGTGACGTGTGGTTGGTTAAAATACAATAGTTTTACAAGATGTAAAATATACGACTAATCTCACTTTCGCTCAGGTATAGAGTTGAATATCTGGTTGGTGCTTTACTCCAGACTCAGATCTCTATTAGCTGGCACCTCATCCAGAACCAAGTTCTTCAGAGCTGATCTTTGGAAGGTTCTTACATTACTTACTGTTTACTTTGTCTCGTATTGTGAGGATATCATGATGATAGTTACAATTTGAGTTATCGATGAATTCAACTTTGTACGTCAGTCTGAATTTCAAAAACATTTCCTACAAATCTGTTAAGTTTAAAATGAAGTTTATAAAACAAAACAATCTCCAGTACGATTTGTCGCAGTACAACACAATAATAGTGTTTGGAGGCGAGGGTATGATGTCGGATCTAAGTGTGAAGTTAAAAGAAGAAACTACTCCACTAACTGATATAGTGTCCTGTAGATTCCCTCTAGATGTGGAGGTGTGGGATACTCATAGCATGATAGAGGATGGACATAACCCTCTGTGGCGATACAAACAGAACAGTAATTAGGTAGAGTTTGAGATTTGGTAGGCTTCAATTTATTACTAAGTTATTACTAATTTATTACAAAGTTATTAAGAAATGAATCTATTATATTATTTTTATAGGATCTGATTTATTAGTTTATGAAGCTATAACGATCTCTTTAAGAATTAATTGGTAATAAGCAACTCATATTATCATATAACTTCTTTTGTAAAATATAATGTTTGTTGTTCATTTTTCATATTTGTGGTTTTATTCGCTGCTATAACCAACCATGATATGAGATTTTATTGACTTTGTGAAAGTGCAGATCATAATCAGCTTAACCATATGCATAATCTTATATCTGGCATTTTATCTCAATTTCTCAGATGCTTTGATTTAAAATGCCAGTGTTTGAGTGTTATCTGAGAAATGTAAAGTTGATAAAATGTTTTTTGTCTTTATAAAAACATTATGTCAGAAATAGAATGATAGAATGGCAGCAGTAGAAATCATGAATGTTGTCCCGTCGGCAATACTCGAACAAGAGCTATCATTGGAAGGTGAATTCAGCGGACTAATTATTATTTACCTTGTTTTATATTGTGATAATATAATGATGATATTTACAATTTGAGTTTCCAATGAATACAATTTTGTACGTCAGTCCGAATTTACAGAAAATAGTAACTATTAATCTGTATAGTTTAAATAAAAGTTATAACACTACATACCTTCAGATAGTTCTGTCGCAGAACAAAAAGAATTCGGAGAGGGAGAGTATGTTGACATATCCTTAAGTTTTTAGAAGGTAATATAAAGTCCTTCACTTTGTACCATGTTTTATATTGTGATAATATAATGATGATATTTACAATTTGAGTTTTCAATGAATACAATTTTGTACGTCAGTCTGAATTTACAGAAAATAGTAAATATTAATCTGTATACTTTAAATAAAAGTTATAAAACTACATACCTTCAGATAGTTCTGTCGCAGAACAACTCACAAATAATTCGGAGGGGAGAGTATGTTGGCATATCCTTCAGTTTTTAGAAGGTAATATAAAGTCCTTCAATTTGTACCATGTTTTATATTGTGATAATATAATGATGAAAGTTACAATTTGAGTTTTCAATGAATACAATTTTGTACGTCAGTCTGAATTTACAGAAAATAGTAACCACTAATCTGTATAGTTTAAATAAAAGTTATAAAACTACATACCTTCAGATAGTTCTGTCGCAGAACAACTCACAGATAATTCGAAGAGGGAGAGTATGTTGGCATATCCTTCAGTTTTTTAAAGGTAATATAAAGTCCCTCACTATTTACTTTGTTTAGTATTGTGATAATATAATCCCTATAATGATGAAAGTTATAATTTGAGTTTTCAATGAATACAATTTTGTACGTCAGTCTGAATTTACAGAAAATAGTAACTATTAATCTGTATAGTTTAAATAAAAGCTATAACACTACATACCTTCAGATAGATCTGTCGCAGAACAACACACAAATATTTCGGAGAGGAAGAGTATGTTGGCATATCCTTAAGTTTTTAGAAGGTAATATAAAGTTCCTTACTATTTTGTATTTACGTTGTTAAGTATTGTGATAATATAATGATGATATTTACAATTTGAGTTTTCAATGAATACAATTTTGTACGTCAGTCTGAATTTACAGAAAATAGTAACCACTAATCTATATATACAGGGTGGCCCATAAGTGACTACCCACACGCAACCTCTTAATAACTCACGTAATTCGTCTCCAAATTGCACCAAAATTTCAGAGATTATAGATATGGGTCAAACTTAGATTTCCTGAAAGTTTCGCAAGCCACGCCCAGTTACAGTGGGCGTGGCGTGACACTCCCTCTTTTTCACTATTGTCTTCATAAAATGAGAACGCTTTAACCTAAGAACTCAAAATTTTTTGCACACATTTGGCTTGATAATTGAAAACTTTTCCCAAAGTTTCAAGTTCATTGGTTAAAATATGGCTAAGTTATGACCATTTTAAAATCCATCGGATATGTGATCCGAGCACTCAGTCAGTGATATTTGCACTCAATTAGTGATCTCGTCACCCAATCTGATCAAGAGTAAGGCGTTAGCGTGTATTAATGAGGTTCATTAGGCTTTGATTGGATACCGATGATGACTTTGCTAGAAAGGGAAACACAAATTTTTAGGATAAAAACCAGATCGTGACCTTTTCAGGAAAAGCCGTTCTCTCCACCACTTCATCCGGTCTAGTAGAGCCCCAGTGAATTGCATTCTGGGAGTTGACATATCCGTTTATATGGCCTTGTCGCTGTACCAGATTTCGTCCTCAAAGTAGGGATCCACATTCTGCTTGGACAGGAATGTGTTGGCGAAATCTATCCTCGATTGGAAATCACGGTCCAAAAGTTTGTGTTTCTTTGTGATTCGGTAGGCCCGGTTAGAAAGGTCTTGCTTTAGGATTCGCTGAAGGGTTCTGCTGATGTCTAAGGCAGGAGCTCGTTTCTGGGTGCCAATCTTAGGTGTGTCCATCACGTCACCAACAACCATCGTGATGTTTTCTACAGTCCTCGCAGTTCGTCTTCTGCCGACTCTTCGCCGATCGTGTGCAGAAAACGTAAACTTGATCTTGTGATGAATGTCAAAGCAGCTTTTCCGGCAAGGGGGTGGTCGGTTGAATTTCATCTGAAATTGTCGTTTAATCTGAGGGTAGAACTCCCCATTTTCTTTCTTCAGGTAGACGAACAATCGTTGTTCTGCAGTAAAGGGAGGATAGTGAACCATTTTCGATGATTCAATGGATGGTTCATTCCTTTTTATTGATTGTAAGGAACCTGTGACTAGCAGGGCTAACAAGCCCTGAAATGGTGACACCACCATAAATTCGTGTGATAGCGTTTTAGGCGCAGTCAGCTGTATAGGCCGGCCCATAAGCAGGCTGCAACCAATCAAGCGGTGCATGTGAGCCAAACAGGCCATTAACCAAGTGACGAGATCACTGACTGAGTGCTCGGATCACGTATCCGATGAGTTTTGAAATGGTCATAACTTAGCCATATTTTAACCAATGAACTTGAAACTTTGGGAAAGGTTTTCAATTATCTAGCCAAATGTGTGCAAAAAATTTTGAGTTCTTAGCTTAAAGCGTTCTCATTTTATGAAGACAATAGTGAAAAAGAGGGAGTGTCACGCCACGCCCACTGTAATTGGGCGTGGCTTACGAAACTTTTAGGAAATCTAAGTTTGACCCATATCTATAATCTTTAACATTTTGGTGCAATTTGGAGACGAATTACGTGAGTTATTAAGAGGTTGCGTGTGGGTAGTCACTTATGGGCCACCCTTAGGGAATAATGCAAAATTCCGGGAAAAAATTTGCGACAAGCTGATTTTTACAGGAATATGTTGTCCATAGTGTCAGGAACCACCCCAAAGAGTTTCCAATCTGGATCTGTTGAGCAAAAAAAGTTACAGCCAATTTTCTTTGGGCGCGTATGTCAGCCTGAGGACTGCACTTGAAAAACTCGTAACTATCGTAATAAAGACCCCCAGGAGCACCATAGGGGGTGCAAAATGACCGAAATAGTGACATTATGTGGGGCGAATCAGTGTTTTAGGGTCGTCAGATCTTTACTTATTGAGATAATTTCATTTTTATAGGCTAACCTCTCAAAAATTTACAAAAATTTTGAAATTTTACTTAAATTTGGAAATTTAGCAAAATTGTTGTACAATTAAAACATTGTCTAGTTATCAGTATTCAAATTCTAAAATTTACTTTCAATTGTCAATTGATCCTTATAAATAATATACATATCACATCAAATTCTGTAAAAAAAGGTCCTGAATTATTAGCATGGTGTCTTTGATTGGCAACTATTAGGTCACTTCTGGCTATCCCATTTCCTCAGAGTTGTTTGATTCTCCTGAATCGTCCTGTCTTTCGGGTGCATTAGTGCAACTTAATCCATGACATTGGCCACATGCAGGTAGACATTTAAAGCCATACTTCCGGCAGGAACACCTAGTTAAGTACTTACAAGGGTTCTCAACCTCCACCGAGCAATTGCAGCAAATGAGGTTGAGCATCCCTGCCGGGGCAATCGCAGCTTTAGTCGGGATTGGCCGGTATTATCCTTCAGAACTCATCTCCCATCCATAATGTAGTGGATTTAGACTTGCAGTGTCGAGTGTCACCCAGTTATGGTACTGAAGATATGATCTTAATATATGCTCAGTTGCAGAGGATGTAGACGGTGGTAGCCTTGATGGGTTGAGTTTTTTCTTTGCTATCATTCTACTGTAGCTGAGAAATCTGAGAGTTTCGAGTGCCTTGGTTTTATCTCCATAGATATGTTGAAACAAGGAGAGGCCAGCTTCAATTACTTCATTTGTTGAAACTCTCACAGAGAGTAATGATGCTAAATGACCCTCCTCATGAAAAGAAACTGCCTTTTTCAATATCTTCACCTTACCAAAGCCATGTATACTGCTGACCGTGTCACATCCTGAGAAACTGTGAACAAACAGTAATATGCGTTTTATGTTGGCATCAAGAGCATTTACTATTTTACTGATCGAGTGTGAGCCGTTTCTGGTCGTCATCACAATTTCATTGTGATTCTCAGTAAAATGATGAATAAGGAGGCAAAGTATATAATCAAGTATCTGACTGAAAAGCCGCACAATGTTTTGAGTATACGAGGTTTGTGATGTTATTTGGGTTTATTGGGGTCTATAGATCAAAAAAAATTTGGGTAGACAAAAAGTTATGTGTCCACCAGGTCTGTGGCCACGCCCTTTTATATGATCGTGGGAAAATCTTACCTTTTCCTAATATAAATTCATATTTGCTCAATCAAAGCAAGTAGGGTATCAAAACCAATGTTTTGTGATCCAAGAAATCGATTGGTGATATCTATTTTACTTTCAGACCATTCCTAGATAAGATAACCACGCCCATATTTACAATTGAGCGTCAAAATTCCCAAAATGTAAGCAATGTTTTTGGGCAAGTTGGGTGTTGAGACCTATGTTTTTTGACCCGAGAAATCGATTGGTGATATCTATTTGACTTTCAGACCACTCCCAGATAAGATAGCCACGCCCATATTTACACTCGAGCGCCAAGAATTCCCAAATACTCATGGATCTGAAGACATTCCCGTCTATATAACTTCCGCCCCGGAGTTTGAGACTTGGAATAGCTCAAGTGACCCATCAGAAACAAATTTGGTCTGGGTAGAAATTGTGGCTATGGTGCAGTTTTGCGCAATTGACCACGCCCTTTTTTGGCACTTTTGCGACTTTAAAATCAAAATAACTCCGCTTCTAATTGGAATTAAAAGCTCAACTTGGCTGTAAAGTTGTTCAGAATTATCACATTTAGGGGATAGAGCATGATTTTAAAGTCACTAGACATAAGGTTGTTGAGTAATATGACCACACCTTTTTTTTTCTCTCGCGAGTCATAATTTGCATGTACTAAATACCAGATATCTCGGCTTCTGATTGAGCTAGGTGCTAATCCGGCCTCCGGGCATTAAAAAGTTCAAAATCATCAGTTTAAGTTGGGTAGAGCATAATTTCAAAGTTATCAAAGATCAGGTTGTTGAGTTTTTTGGCCAAAACCTATTTTAACGCTCTTGCGAGTAGCAATTGCAGCGCTTAAAATTAAAATTACTCAGCTTCTGATTGAAGTTAGGAGCTAAACTCGGGCAGCAAAATGGTCAAAATTATCATATGGAGTGGGGTAGAACGTGGTTTTAAAGTCCTCAGACATCAGGTTGTTGAGGTATTAGGCCACACCCTATTCTTACGCTATCGCGAGTAGCAATTGCAGCGCTTAAAATTAAAATTACTCAGCTTCTGATTGGAGTTAGGAGCTAAACTCGGGCAGCAAAATGGTCAGGATTATCACATTAAGTTGGGTTTCAAAGTCCCCAGTCATCAGGTTGTTAAGTTGTTAGGCCACACCATATTTCTAAGCACTTACTTGCAACAATTACAACACTCATTAAAAGTATGTCGGCTTCTGATTGGAGTTCG